AAATATTATCCAGAATATCGACCAGGGAATAAAAATACTAATAGCCTTTTAATTATGTTTAGGGAGTGAGCTAGTACGAGGAGATATATTATCTTAAAATATCTCTAGAATATTATCTTCAAATATCGACCAGGGAATAACACTACTAACAACCTTTTAATTATGTTTAGGGAGTGAGCTAGTACGAGTAGATATATTATCTTAAAATATCGTCTAGAATATTATCTTCAAATACCGACCAGGGAATAACACTACTAATAGCCTTTTCATTATGTTTAGGGAGTGAGCTAGTACGAGTAGATACATTATCTCCAAATATTATCTTCAGAATATCGACCAGGGAATAAAAATACGAATAACCATTTAATTATGTTTAGGGAGTGAGCTAGTACGAGTAGATACATTATCTCCAAATATTATCTTCAAATATCGACCAGGGAATAACACTACTAATAACCTTTTCATTATGTTTAGGGAGTGAGCTAGTACGAGTAGATACATTATCTCCAAATATCATCTAGAATATTATCTTCAAATATCGACCAGGGAATAAAAATACTAATAGCCTTTTCATTACGTTTAGGGAGTGAGCTAGTACGAGTAGATATATTATCTGAATATGTCGTCTAGAATATTATCTTCAAATATCGACCAGGGAATAACACTACTAATAGCCTTTTCATTATGTTTAGGAGTGAGCTAGTACGAGTAGATATATCTATTTCAAATTATTATCTTCAAATATCGACCAGGGAACAACACTACTAATGACCTTTTAATTATGTTTAGGGAGTGAGCTAGTACGAGTAGATACATTATCTCCAAATATCATCTAGAATATTATCTTCAAATATCGACCAGGGAATAACACTACTAACAACCTTTTAATTATGTTTAGGGAGTGAGCTAGTACGAGTAGATATATTATCTTAAAATATCGTCTAGAATATTATCTTCAAATACCGACCAGGGAATAACACTACTAATAACCTTTTCATTATGTTTAGGGAGTGAGCTAGTACGAGTAGATACATTATCTCCAAATATTATCTTCAAATATCGACCAGGGAATAAAAATACTAATAGCCTTTTCATTATGTTTAGGGAGTGAGCTAGTACGAGTAGATACATTATCTCAAAATATTATCTTCAGAATATCGACCAGGGAATAAAAATACTAATAACCTTTTAATTATGTTTAGGGAGTGAGCTAGTACGAGTAGATACATTATCTCCAAATATTATCTCAGAATATCGACCAGGGAATAAAAATACTAATAACCTTTTAATTATGTTTAGGGAGTGAGCTAGTACGAGTAGATACATTATCTCCAAATATTATCTTCAAATATCGACCAGGGAATAAAAATACTAATAGCCTTTTCATTATGTTTAGGGAGTGAGCTAGTACGAGTAGATATATTATCTGAAAATGTCGTCTAGAATATTATCTTCAAATATCGACCAGGGAATAACACTACTAATAGCCTTTTCATTATGTTTAGGGAGTGAGCTAGGACGAGTAGATACATTATCTTCAAATATTATCCAGAATATCGACCAGGGAATAAAAATACTAATAGCCTTTTAATTATGTTTAGGGAGTGAGCTAGTACGAGGAGATATATTATCTTAAAATATCGTCTAGAATATTATCTTCAAATATCGACCAGGGAATAACACTGCTAACAACCTTTTAATTATGTTTAGGGAGTGACCTAGTACGAGTAGATATATTATCTTAAAATATCGTCTAGAATATTATCTTCAAATACCGACCAGGGAATAACACTACTAATAGCCTTTTCATTATGTTTAGGGAGTGAGCTAGTACGAGTAGATACATTATCTCAAAATATTATCCAGAATATCGACCAGGGAATAAAAATACGAATAACCTTTTAATTATGTTTAGGGAGTGAGCTAGTACGAGTAGATACATTATCTCCAAATATTATCTTCAAATATCGACCAGGGAATAACACTACTAATAACCTTTTCATTATGTTTAGGGAGTGAGCTAGTACGAGTAGATACATTATCTCCAAATATTATCTTCAAATATCGACCAGGGAATAACACTACTAATAACCTTTTCATTATGTTTAGGGAGTGAGCTAGTACGAGTAGATACATTATCTCCAAATATTATCTTCAAATATCGACCAGGGAATAACACTACGAATAACCATTTAATTATGTTTAGGGAGTGAGCTAGTACGAGTAGATACATTATCTCCAAATATTATCTTCAAATATCGACCAGGGAATAACACTACTAATAACCTTTTCATTATGTTTAGGGAGTGAGCTAGTACGAGTAGATACATTATCTCCAAATATCATCTAGAATATTATCTTCAAATATCGACCAGGGAATGAAAATACTAATAGCCTTTTCATTACGTTTAGGGAGTGAGCTAGTACGAGTAGATATATTATCTGAATATGTCGTCTAGAATATTATCTTCAAATATCGACCAGGGAATAACACTACTAATAGCCTTTTCATTATGTTTAGGGAGTGAGCTAGTACGAGTAGATTTATTATCTCAAAATATCGTCTAGAATATTATCTTCAAATATCGACCAGGGAATAACACTACTAATAGCCTTTTAATTATGTTTAGGGAGTGAGCTAGTACGAGTAGATACATTATCTCCAAATATCATCTAGAATATTATCTTCAAATATCGACCAGGGAATAACACTACTAATAGCCTTTTCATTATGTTCAGGGAGTGAGCTAGGACGAGTAGATATACTATTTCAAATTATTATCTTCAAATATCGACCAGGGAACAACACTACTACTGACCTTTTAATTATGTTTAGGGAGTGAGCTAGTACGAGTAGATATATTATCTCCACAATTATCCAGAATATCGACCAGGGAATAACACTGCTAACAACCTTTTAATTATGTTTAGGGAGTGACCTAGTACGAGTAGATATATTATCTTAAAATATCGTCTAGAATATTATCTTCAAATACCGACCAGGGAATAACACTACTAATAACCTTTTAATTATGTTTAGGGAGTGAGCTAGTACGAGTAGATATACTATTTCAAATTATTATCTTCAAATATCGACCAGGGAACAACACTACTAATGACGTTTTAATTATGTTTAGGGAGTGAGCTAGTACGAGTAGATACATTATCTCCAAATATCATCTAGAATATTATCTTCAAATATCGACCAGGGAACAACACTGCTAACAACCTTTTAATTATGTTTAGGGAGTGAGCTAGTACGAGTAGATATATTATCTTAAAATATCGTCTAGAATATTATCTTCAAATACCGACCAGGGAATAACACTACTAATAGCCTTTTCATTATGTTTAGGGAGTGAGCTAGTACGAGTTGATACATTATCTCAAATTATTATCCAGAATATCGACCAGGGAATAAAAATACTAATAGCCTTTTCATTACGTTTAAGGAGTGAGCTAGTACGAGTAGATATATTATCTGAATATGTCGTCTAGAATATTATCTTCAAATATCGACCAGGGAACAACACTACTAATGACCTTTTAATTATGTTCAGGGAGTGAGCTAGTACGAGTAGATATATTATCTTAAAATATCGTCTAGAATATTATCTTCAAATACCGACCAGGGAATAACACTACTAATAGCCTTTTAATTATGTTTAGGGAGTGAGCTAGTACGAGTAGACATATTATCTTAAAATATCGTCTAGAATATTATCTTCAAATACCGACCAGGGAATAACACTACTAATAGCCTTTTAATTATGTTTAGGGAGTGAGCTAGTACGAGTAGATACATTATCTCCAAATATTATCTTCAAATATCGACCAGGGAACAACACTACTAATGACCTTTTAATTATGTTTAGGGAGTGAGCTAGTACGAGTAGATACATTATCTCCACAATTATCCAGAATATCGACCAGGGAATAACACTGCTAACAACCTTTTCATTATGTTTAGGGAGTGAGCTAGTACGAGTAGATACATTATCTTCAAATATCGTCTAGAATATTATCTTCAAATATCGACCAGGGAATAACACTACTAATAGCCTTTTAATTATGTTTAGGGAGTGAGCTAGTTGTTACGCGGTGCCGACTGGTCACTGTGAGTTAGAACGTCCTGGGCCGATACTTGCCTGCTATCCTAACTTCCAATCCCAAGACCTGGTCTCTCAATCGTACCGTTGCTTCGCAAAGCCTTACTGCGGGTTGGATCCTGTTGAGTGTCTTGCAAGACGTGCCAGAGGTGCGCGCCAAGTAGGTCAATCACTAAGTGTTACCACTGAGTGAATCCCCTACCTGTAGGTTGGGTTTGTCTTAGAGTTGAACCGTGGAGTGCAAAGTGCTTCAAGGTAGTAACCAAGTAACAATGTGCAATTGATCGCGAAGAACTAAATACATGATGCTGAATGAGTGTCCTTATATATCCAGTCCCTCCGATCCCTGGCTATGACAGATCATAGCCTCAGCTATGCTCGGTTCAGACCCCTGGGTATGATCCGATCAGATAACGTGATATGCTCATCATATCCTGGGGTATGATGAGTCACGTGACTGTTGGTTCTTCCCATAACGTTGTGTTTGTGCCTTGCAACGTTACCCAATCCCAATCCTTGCTGACTGATCCAAGTTGATTGGTTCTCAGTGTTCCTTCTCCCCGCATTAGCGCTGTTGCGTGAGAGATTCGTAACATCATCCCCTCCTTCCGTAGTTCTTTGTCCTCAAAGATTCGTTAAATAGTGCGCCCGTCCCCTAGGTGTGTTTTCGTTGTTTTTTCTCCCCCATGTTGTTGTCCCTTTGTGGTGGTGCTGACCGTGTCTTCAAAGGCGTCCATCAAAAAGAATCGCCTGTGTCATCGCATCGAAGAGGAGGGTTATCGTGTTGTTTCCCCCTGCGATCGTTGCGTCCGTCTTCATAAATCTTGTGTCAAATCCGGATCGTCCGATCGTTGTAGCGAGTGTGTTCGTGCTGGTAATTCGAAGTGCGTGATGTCGAAACCAACCTATTCGGATGCCGAATGGCGGCGGTTGGTGAAAATGCAGGAAGAGATTGCCGAGGCACGCCGTCAAGCCTTGATTGCGAGTCAAGAGGCCATGGCCAAGGTCATGCGTCTTGAGCGCCATGAGGCCCTTCTTCGGAGCCGTGCCGGTGATTTTATTGCTCGTGATTATAAGGAAATTGCTGAGCTGGAAGAGCTCGAGCGTCGCGAAAAGGAAGAGTTCGAGCGCCTCGAGCGAGAGCGCCTGGAGTCTGAGAAGAAGATTTGCGAAGCAGAGAGCGCCCGTGCCGCGACCGGTGTTTCTCGATCTGCTGGGGCAGCTAATGCCCAAGTGTTGGCGGCAACGTCAGAGGATCCTACTCTGACGCAGTTGTTGAATGACCCTTCGTTTTCTTGGGTCGACCTGGACGCTTCTTTGTTGCTTGATGGTGTTGGGGGTTCCCCTTCGCCTCTTGGTGGTACTGTCGAACCAGCTGGTGGCAGCCCCCCAGGTTCTCGATAGGTTCCCATGTATTTTCCGAGGTATCGTATCCTCTCCATTTCACCAGGTAGTGAGGCTTTCCGCTGATCTTGTTTGCAGCCAGAATCGCTTCTACTTCATATTCGTTTTCCGTTTCTTCTTCAATTTCAACATTGGTAGCGATTTCGGCGTTCTTAGGTGCTTTCTCCAGTAATGAAACATGGAATGTTGCATGGATGCGTCGCATGCTTTCTGGTAGCTTTAGTCGATAATTGAGTGGTCCTGTTTTTTCTTCAATTTCGAATGGTCCCAATTTCAGATGATCGAGTTTCGCGCTGGGTCGTCTGGTGCGAATGTTGCGTCGCAAAAGGTAAACTTTCTCCCCCTTTTTGAAAGTCTGGCGCCTCCTGGCGCGACTGATCGTAGTAGTTTTTCATGCGCAGATTGAGAAACTCGATGTCCCTTGTCAGTTGCAAATGCAGTTGCTTAAGCCCAGTCGCTAGTAGTCTCGACGATTCTGCGAGTGGCTGTTTTCCGATAGTTTTCCCGATAATAGTGGGATTAAACCCATAGTTAGCGAAGAATGGTGTTTCTCTGGTGGTAGCGTGCATGGCGTTGTTGTACGCCAACTGCGCCATTGGTAACAATCCTGCCCAGTCATCCTGTTGGTAATTGACGTAGTGTCGTAGGTATTGTTCTAGAGTTTGGTTGACTCTTTCGGTTTGTCCGTTAGTTTGCGGGTGGTACGCGGTAGAGAGTCTATGCTCAATGCCGAGTTGATCCGCCAATGACTGCCACGTATTCGATGTGAACAGTTTGTCTCTGTCCGAGGTAATCTTGCTCGGTGTTCCATGGTTGGCAAACACATGTTTGAGTAGTAGGTTGGCCATCTGTCGTGCATCGATGGTTTCCGTTGTCGGTATCATGTGTGCGTACTTAGTCAGTCGATCGACGACTACCATTATCATGTCATTTCCTTCTGAGACAGGTAACTTCGTTATGAAGTCCATTGTGATCCATTCCCATGGTTGTTGTGGTACTTCGGCCAATTCCATCTCTCCGTATGGTGCGTGTCGTGACGTCTTGTTTCGTTGACACGAGTCACATTGCTGAATGTACTTCCGGACTTTTCTGTATAGTGCCGGAATGTAGTAATTCCGCGTGATCTTTTCGATGGTTTTTTCGATACCAGGGTGTCCCTGTGTTGGTTCGTCGTGATGTAGCTGTATAATCTGTGTTTGGAGGTTTCTGGGAACGTACACTAGTCCATGAATGTAGACTAAGCCGTCATTCGTCAGGGCTGTGTTGTTGCTTAGAACCTTTTGTAGTGATTCGTCGGCCCGTGTGCCGTCTCGAATCCTTTCGATCCATTCGTCGTTCTGGACCTCGCTAGTCGCTGCGAGCGTCTGGTGATTGTAGACGATGTTTCCTTCGTTATCTTTTGCCAAGATTGCTGGTGCTGCCTCCTTGGTACCTAGTTCATAGTCGGGTCGTCGACTAAGCGCGTCCGCGACCGTGTTTTCGGTCCCTTTACAGTGCACGATCTTGAAGTCGTATTGGGCTAAGGTCTCCGCCCATCTGGCTTGTCGCCTTGTAAGTTTCTTCGTAGTCGTAAAGTACGTGAGATTGTGGTGATCTGTCCGAACGATCACTGTGTGCTTGGCCCCTTCCAAGTAGGCTCTCCACGTCTGAAATGCTGACACTATGGCTAGCAGTTCCTTGTCGTGTACGTCGTAGTTGATTTCCGCGGGTATCATCTTGCGAGACCAGAAAGCGACAGGTCTGAGCTTGCCGTCTTGTCCTGGTTGCATGAGCTGTGCTCCAAGCGCGAAATCAGATGCGTCGGTTTCCATGATGATTGGTGCATCGTAGTTGAATATGGCTAGGATCGCTTCTCCTGCCTTTTTGTCATACATTCCCTTGAGTGCGGTGAATGATTTTTCTGCTTCTTCGTCCCACTGGAACGGTATCCCCTTTTTGGTGAATCGGTATAGTCCTGCCGCATACTTTGAGTACTGCGGTATCAATTTTCGATAGTAATTCGCAAGTCCAAGAAAACTCTGTACGTCCTTGACGCATGTTGGCGTTGGCCATTCGAGTATGCTCTTGACTTTATCTTGTTCCATCCCCAGTCCGTCAGGGCTAATGGTGTATCCGAGGAAACTTGTCTGTTGGACATGAAACTCGCATTTCTTGAGTTTGAGCGTCACCTTTGCTTCCCTGAGTCGTTGTAGTACTTTTCTGTTGTGCTCGATGTGTTCTTCCTCGGTTTTGGAGAACACTAGGATATCGTCGAGGTATGCGATCACGAACTTGTCGAGGTATCCTTGTAGAACATGGAAGATGAACCGTTGAAATGATGCGGGTGCGTTGGTAAGACCAAACGGCATAACCTTGTACTCGTAGTGCCCGTATTTGGTTCTGAACGCCGTCTTCCATTCATCTCCTTCCTTGATTCGGAGTCGATTGTACGCGTTGGTAATATCGTACTTGCTGAAATATTTCGCTCCTTGAATGATGTCTTGGATTTCGTTGATCAACGGCAATGGGTGCCGGTCCTTGATCGTAATGTCGTTGAGCTGTCGGTAGTCAACGCACATTCTGAGTTCCCCTCCTTTCTTCGGTACAAACAGGATTGGATATCCTGCTGAAGATTTCGAGTGTTGAATGTTCCCCTTCTTAAGGTTATCCTTGATGTATTCTTCCAGTGTCGCTGACTCTTTCTGCGATAGTGGGTAGATCGGCATGAACTTTGGTTCCTCGCCGTCCTTGATCTTTATCTCATGGTCGAACGGACCATGCTCTGGTAGCTCATCCCTTGGTGGCGTGAATACGTCTTGGAATTTCGTATATTCCGCTGGTATTTTGTGTTCTTCTTCTGGCGCTTCCGTGGCGCATAGAGCTGTTGCTGCGTCGTGAACGAGGACATATTCCTCTAGTTCCTGGTCGGTCATGTTGCTTCCTTGCTCAACCGTCGCGATGTCTCGTGCATCGATCGTGTTTCTGTTGGGCCTGCCTCCTGGCCGAAAACTCCTCTTAAGTTCGCCTTCGTGAGGGTTCTCATGAGCACCTGCCACCCCATGGCTAAGTGTCGTCAGCGTGTTTTGTTTCCTTCCGGTCCATTTCTCGCTCGTGACTCGACAGTTGCACCTGAAGAGTAGGTCATTGGTTTGCCAGTTGATATCGGGGTTGTGCTTCCTTAACCAAGGAACGCCCAAAACGATATCGTACTGTCCTAGTGGGGTCACGTCGAAGTTGATGATTTCGAAGTGGTCTCCAATAACCATTGGTAGAGGTCCGCTTTCGTGGGTAATCCCTGGTCCAAGACTTTCTCCGTTAAGTCCGATAATTGGCACGACCTGGGGTTTTTCTTGTCCTTTGATCTGATAGCGGTTCTTGTACCTGGGATCCATGAAGTTACCAGCTGCTCCCGAGTCGATCATCACTGTAGTTGATCTGAGCATGATGTTGGCCGTAATTCTCATGTGTCGTCCCCATGCTGTCGCTGCGAGTTGCCGCTGTTCGTCGCGTAGTTTTCTTTTTCCAAACCAGACTCCTGCGTATTCTGGTTTCCAGTTGGGTTTCTTTTCCCATTGTAGAGGTCTAGGTTCGAGGCTCCTCTCGACCTTCCCTGATGCGTGTACCCAGCATCCATCGTCGTAACAACCCGCCACGGCTCTGAGATCGTGCTGAGGGTGTCGTGCGTATCCTTTGCATGCACACCTTGGGTTGTCACATGGACGTTGTTCTGTATTCTCTTGGGGGTTTCTTTCTTGAGGCTGTGCAGTGGTATCCTTCCCTAGGAACTGCGGTGGAGTTTCTGGGATTTCTGGAGTTCCTGGGTTCTCGCTTGGTGTTCCCGGGGTCCGTCCCGCTCCTTCCTGGGTTTCGTAGGATAACTCCTGGGAGTCGGTGGGGTCCCATGGACCGTACTGGGTCCACCCTTGACTCTCGACATTCTCCCAATCTATTTCGGGAAATTCTTCCGTCGCGTGCTCTGCGCTGATCAGGCCGCGGTAAACTATATCGTCTGCGAAGGTTCCGGGGGTTATATCCTTGGTGATTTGTCGTATCACTTCCGCCCGTCCTTCGTAGTCGTCGAAGGTGTCCAAGGTTTTACCCTTCTTGGTTTGGTTCCGCATACTCGCCCAGTCCCCTTCGCGGGTAGTGGCGATGCGTACCTTCTTGCCGTTGCGTAGCGGCGTCTTGGAGCCATCGTCGGTGGCTCGTAGCTGCTGAGGCGGAACCCAATCGTCCTGGGTTGCCCTCATTTGTTGTGGCCTTGCGTTGTTGCGTCTTTCGCTGCGCTCACGCGCCCATGGCTTTGCGTTGTTGTGCTTTTCCTTGCACTCACGCGCCCTGTGCCCTGCTTTTCCACATTCAAAGCATAAGTTGTTGTCTCTTCGTCGTTTCTCTTCATTGCTTGGGAGTCTCGCTGCGTCGAGCTCCATTGGCTTTGGTCCATAGGGGTCGCTGTCCCTTATGGGTCTGTTTGGTCGTTTGTCGTACCGATGGTGTGATGGTCGGCCAGTGCCTCGGCGCCATCCTTCAATTTCCCTTTTTTCCATTTGTCGATCGTACAGGCGATTGTCGATTCGTACTGCCACGTCGATGAGTTTTTCCATAGTGTCTGGTCGATCGATCCGCGCAAGCTCGTCCTTGATATGGGGTTTGAGTCCGTGGTCGTAGTACGGAATCAAAGCGTAGTCTTCCCATTGCAGTATCGCTGCAAGTTGCATGAACTCGGCCGTGTAGGCGGATGCTGACCCAGTTTGTCGAATTCGTTTCAATTTGCGTTCAGCTGTCTTCTTGGCATCAATGTCGCCAAAAGTTCGTTCGAGGTGCTGTCGAAACGTAGTGTAGC